TAGCATTGTATTTTGTATGAGTTTCAACTCAGTAACAGTGTTAGCGTTACTGTCCACAATATTTGTGTAGCCTGTGAGAAGATATAATTGTTGAACGCATATATCTTCTCTATTTCAAAAAATTTCGAGAACGCGACATATTGCTGGAAGTTCAATCCAGATCCGGACGACCTCTTTCGAGTATGCTATGGAGCGATTACAAGCCCTAGTAGAAGACAAACTGCGTTCCACTACTCGAATATTATCATCAGTACTCGGCTGTCACTAGTCCATCATTGAACCCACGTGTATCAAATGGGAAAAGTCACTAAACTTGACTCACAAGTTCCACAACAAATTACGTCGGACAAAATCGGACAGAAGATCACCAAAAACAATTCAACACCAACATCATTATTCTAATACTAAAAAAAGGTGATAAGACTCTGATGATAAACTACTGAGGTATGAGTCTTATTTCAGTAGCGGCCATGATGTACAATATAATTCTGTTGAACCGCATACGTGAACTAATAGATTCCAATCTTCGAACAAACCAAACAGGATTCAGGAAAGGAAGGAACCGTATCGATCAAATACATGTTCTGAGAAGACTTCTAGAAGGCGCCGTTGATAAACACGTACCAATCTATATTACATTTATCGATTTCAAATAAGCCTTCGACTCTGTCAATAGACAAACTTTGTGCGACATACTACGACACAATGGCATACCAGCAAAAATGATCAATGCTATTCAAGCTATTTATTACAATGCTCAAAGCGTAGTTCTTTGTCGATGATCATCTTCAGAAGAATTTGAGGTAACAACTGGTGTTTTACAAGGTGATACATCAGCCCCTTTTCTGTTTATCATCGTCATGGGCTATATTATGAAAAATGCAGAATTAAACCACACAAACGAGAGAGGCGAAGATGGTTTCATAACCAACTTGCGACAATCAAGTCGGCAATCAGCAACAATGATAAATGATCTGGATTTTGCAGACGACATAGCTCTAATCGAACGCAACTTACTACAAGTGCTGAATGGGCTAGTAAAGTAGACCTACAAGTCAATATCAAGAAAACTCAATTATGAAATAATCAAAACACAAACAAAAGATCAATACAACTTGATGGACAGAATATTCAATTGGTAGACAATTTCAAATACCTTGGCTCACTGATGTTATCAAGTATTACAGACATCAAGATGCGAAAACAACTAGCTTGAAAAGCTTTTTAGAAAATGAAAAATATATGGAAATCTAGCTAGATCATTACTAAAACACTCAAAAATATCTTGAACAGCTTCGCTACTAGTTGCTATCGTATCATGCGTAATATCAAACGCCCAGATACAATAACAAACACTGCAATATATGAAAAGATAAAACAAGAACCATTAATACATACAATACAACGTCGACAACTACGCTACATTGGACATTGTCTCCGTAGGAATCCAAATGAATTTATCAACATGTATGCTCTGTATTCTCCAAAAAACGGTCATGGAAAACGCAAACGTGGACGACCACGTCTGAAATATGTTGATTACGTCGTAAGACTGATCAACAACGATGAACCACCAACCTCCGACGAGATCAGAAAAGTTGCTGCAAACCGGAAGCGTTGGCACGATATTGTTATCGCCTGTAAACCACGCTTGTTTGCAGTCGACTGATGATGATGATGAACTTTGCCATGTCATAATACGAAGCCAGTTGAATAAGGAGGAGAATTAGTTCTTGACAAAGGAAAGAATTACAAATTGTAATGAAACTTCATAGATTTTATGAAAGCAATTCTTTCTGTCTCTCCTTAGACAAAAGAAAAGGAATATGGTACTGTGATAGAGTATCCTCCTGCTTCATGAGTATCGAGCTCAAATAATACATATACTACATCTAATTCAGATACAAGCGATGATTTGATAATGATCCAATGGCCACAGTAGTACTAACTAGGTGCAAAACATTCTTCTTTTTGTGTCACATTGAATTATAGTTTTGATATATTATAATAAAATGGACATATGGAAAAAAAACACGAAAACAAAACTAACACTAGAACTGATCTAAGAAAACGTAAAAAAAGATTAAGAAAAATGACAAAAAAAGCGTGTTGATCGTTCCAGTGATGTACTTGATCAGGTTGATCCAAACAATACGATCACTTATTGGCGGCAGTTTGTAACACTGAATGAAGAGAATTAAATATCGCCAAAAGTCTATAAATATTACGTGAAAACAAGAAGACATTTATCTTAGTTCTTTTATATTTGTATATTAATTTGATGGCTATAACACTAACCTGTTTCGTTCATCTGCACATTCAATCCGACTGTCTTTTTTAGCACGATCGATGCCATCTTCGATGGATGCCTTCATATTTGATATGAAATCATCGACCACTTGTTTCGATATTTGTTGACTTTGCTTTTTAGATTGTTTTTTTGTTGCTTTGCATTTATTTTGAAGTGTTTTGGACCATTTTATGCCGACACGTGATCTAACTGATTGAAACTTTCCATCTTCAATGTAATTGCCCACTAGAATAGAATATTAGTTTTTTTTTGTAATTCGATTAGTTAATTTTCAAAATTGTTAAAAACCTTTCTTCAAAAACATATTCCAGGCACGATCGTTGGGGGTCACTTTGTAATTACATTGCATGCCTAGAACGAATAATTAGTTGAAACATATGTGTTATTAAAATATCAGTAAATGGCTCGAGTTCATTCATACCTGCTATTTTCTTGAGAAAATAATTTTTCTTATTCATTGCTTTTTCAAGAATGATCTGAATGTAGACTATTGGAGGCGAAAGACAATTTATTTGTGATTGATTTTCAGATGAAATACAGACATATCGTAACAATTCATTAAATTCATTTTCTATAGTTTCTTTTATATATTCTTCTATTTAAAAGAGACATAAATCGTTCAGTTCTAGATTTTGTCAACAAAGAACGTATCTTACTTGTCATATTCGTACGGCAGACAATTGCAAAAGATTTTCTTTTCAAGTCAAGTTTTTTGTCTGGCTTTTCGTTTTCTGTTGGAATAGTCAAATCGAATTTCTGTCGTCGTGCTATCTCGAATGGATCTAAAACAAATCATAAAATAATCATCTACTACTGATATTGATAATAAACTATTTATTTACCTGAATGTTCGAAATCAACAGCATGAGGTTGTTCATTATGATGATTCACAACGGCACTTATATTGTCGCCATATAATTGACACGAATCATTAGTGGTTACTGTATTTGTTGTTGAATTATCAGTGGCTATTGATTTAGAGGAAAATGAGAATAACCGAGGAGGTACTTCATAGGTATTACCTTGTGTCAAGTGATTGGAGTTGAGCATTTGAATATCTAAACAATAGTTATTCTCAATCATTTATTTTCAACAAATTTAGAAAAGGATGGAAAGAATCTTTATATTTATGTTACGTCAATACCTTGAGCAGAATGAATTGGTAAGTTAACAGAGCTTTCGTCGGACATATTAACATCAGTGATCATTTGTGCATTTGGGTAATTAGTGAAAGATTGATTATTCAAGCCGTCTTGATAGCTGAAATTCATATGTTCATCAACAGCAGGTGTCTGTAGGAGACAATCAATATCAGCATTTGTAGTTCCTCTATCGATTCTGTTTAAGTTATCGTACACTAAAAGATTAGCATTTGGCGGTTCCATGAGATTATTTTTGATAGCATTGATGGTAGCCCTCGAGGATAATGTCTTGAATGAGAAGAAAACAAAGTATATATTATTTATCATAATGCACTATTGTCAATTTGGATAGAATCAGTCTCACCTGATCACATGACATTTCCATTCCTTGCCCATTGTACCCACATTGATTTATATCATCGTAATTATTAGAATAAGCAGCATTATTCATGAGATTTGGATGTGTAGGAGTGAACATTAATAGTATTTATAAATCGTAAAAAGAATAATATCTATAAGTAATAGAGAAAGATCTAAAAAGTAGATGATAGAAAGTAAAATAAAAAAAATATAATGTTTTATTTTGTTGTTCACTTTAGTCTAGCAAAGAAATTCGCTTTAGCAATAGAACGTATACAAATCGAAACTTTGATGCATTTATTTAATGATAGTAGTGTGCTGACAAGAATACTCATCATGATCTAGATCTCATTTTGATTATATGTTGAGAATGAATGTTATTATTTTATAAATTAAAAAGATATAATGAAACCCTTGTACGTTTATTCGTCTTAGTATGAATGAATAACTCTAGTTTCGACTGATTCAAAACAAAACAAAAACGAATTTCCATTTTCATTAAGAATTTTTAATATTTCCTGTAAACTGAATGCGTGGATGAAAAATACTAAGCAGAAAACGAAAAAAAGGAAACAAAAAGATGTTGAATGAAATGTTTGAGCAGTTACACATGAACGACGGATAAATTCATTTGAGTCAATAAGTTGCTATGCTATTGTATATTTAAGAGAAGTCATGGAGGAGAAACAAGGGGTTCAACAGTAGTTAGTCAGTAACCATAGTGATTATTTGTTTTTGTTACTTTAAATTTTGAGCATGACGACGATGACGATGGCGTGATTATCAGTCTATATATAAAACTCAATTATTTTAAACGAAACTTCTGCTACAAAATCAGAAGTATCTGCCTTTCAAAACTCTCCATCTAGAATAGCAAATCCGACCTTCACAGAATCATTTTCAGTTGCCTCCATTTTCTAACCTTTCAATACAACTCAAATCAACTGATTCTGGTAAGATATACTTTAACAGATAACTAAATTTCAGTATTCTTAATGTCACGATTATTTTTTCCCGTCTAAATGTTCGTGTAAAGATAATATTGAAAGGAATTGAAACTAAACGTACCGAACTATTATAAAATGAAGAAGAAGATAATGATGATGATGATAATGAATCGAAAATAAAATATCTAAAAGAAGACAAAAAATATATATATTGTAAGACAATGGTATAAATGACAACAACTGATCGTGCTTTTATATCTCATATTAATAATATTTCCATCTATTGCAGTATGTCTTGGAATGAGTGTTCACATTTCCGCGTTCATCCTTAACAAACAAAAAATGTCCTTTGCATCTTGAATATAAAAAATTTATGATACTCTCATCAGAAAACATATCTATTGACATATATATAAATGCTTTCATTGTGTAATATATTCTTTTTTATAAAATATTCCGAATCGATAGATTAAATGAAAAAATTAATTTGATAAAAACTTTGAAGCGTTAATCTAGAACACAAAAGAAAACTAATTAAAAAATCTACAAGAAATTTTTTATGCTCTTCGTAATAGGTAACTTATAAACCAGATTTTAGGCTATTGGAAAAGAGTTTGTATGCGTACAAAGAAATGCAAGATATTTTCTGATGATCTACTGAAAAGAGAGTGTACAACAGAGATGGGATCGGTTTGTGTTTTTCTCGAACCGAACCGTTCTACTTTTTCAAAAACTCGAACCGAACCGAACCGGACCGAAAAGATCTCAAGCCGAACCGAACCGAGCCAAACTTATAACAATCTAACGAGTGTATTTGAATATCAAATTTTGAACGAGTTAAATGTCTCGAACCGAGCCGAACCGAAAAGTTTCGAACCGAACAGTTTCGAACCGAACCGAACCGAACCGAACTGAACCGAACCGAAAAGTTTTGAATCGAACCGAACTGAACCGAACCGAAAAGTTTCGAACCGAACAGTTTCGAACCGAACTGAACCGAACCGAACCG